TGTTAACATCTAGGCCAAAGTGGAGGGACAAAGGGTGAACAGATGCAGCGGCGGCGCTCACTGGACACTATGTGGAAAATGAGCAATACCACTTGTGTTTCACATTGTCCAAGAAGAAATGTGCTCATCACCTGACTTCTGTAACTGCAACCCCTCTGTACATCACCTTTGTAATAACAAAAATCTCTAAAAAGGAAGTGATATGGAGCAGCGAATCTCTTTGGAATAAACCTTAAAAAAATATGGCATCCAGGCCAATCAGTGCCTGTAAAGGCTGTGTGTGGCTGGTATGGGGACTTGAACTCAGCACCTGGATGTTATTCCTTAGCTGTTTTTGTTCAAGGCTAGTGTTCTGCCACTTGAGCCTCAGCTCCACTTTTGGTTAATTGGAGATAAGAGTCTCAGACTTTCCTGCCCAGGCTGGCTTTGAATAGCCATTGTCAATCTCAGCCTCCTGAGTAGCTAGGATTACAAGCACTGGGCAATGCTGACTTCTTAAAACACAATTGCAAGGCTTGGAAACAAACCCCAGAAATGGCGTCTGAGCCGTGCCTTTCATGTGTCCGGGCTGGTGGGTGGCAAGGGTCACCTTTCACTTTTAGTCGGCATCTTCTGGATTCAGTCCCTGGCTCTCAGCTCCTCACCACCTGGACAGGTGGCAGCGTGCCTGCCCCCTAGCCCCAGGACTGAGTAACCCATGGGCCGGGTGAGGCCACATTATCCCCAAAGCAGGTGGTGGCAGGCTGCAGGGCCCTAGAGAAGATGGCGCTGGACCTAGGCATCCTAATGGGAGGTTGTTTGCTTGAATGGGGGTGGGCAGGGAGAGGGGGTCTCCAGCATGTTCTACTGTTCTCCACCTGTGCACAATCAGATGATCCAGGAGCCCGTGGTTCCAGGTGTCCTGGGTCTGACTGCCCGAGTCACTGGCCATGCCCAGAGCTCCTGCTCACTTTTCCACTTCTTCCTCCACCCCGTCCCCCTCCTCAGTGCTTAGAAGCAGGACCTTGTTATCCCCTGTCCCCCCTCCCCCAGCCGGCACAAGTGCCAAGGGCCTAATGGTGGCTTCCTGAAGAAGCCTCAGGAACCGTCTAAAGACATTAAGGCACACTTCAGCCCCACCGTGTCCCTGGAGTCTGAGTGTAGTGGCTGTTCCGTAGGGCTGGGTCTGGATGCCCCTGGAGGGCCTCTGTCCTCCCAACAGTGAAGGCCAGGGGGCTGCTCTAGGCCAGGGGCTCTCGGTCTCTGCAGCAAAGGATTCAGTGGGAGTTGGCCAGGGATGGTAGATGCCTGCCTAGGAGAACCCTGCGGATGGGAAGTCCTGCTTACACTCGCTTAGAGTTTATGGTATCAACTGCATATACTTTCCAGAGCCCAGAGGCCAAGTCCACTTTAAGGCTTTTGTTACATAGTACTTTCTTGAAACATGCGCCCAACATTCCAGGGATGTGTGAAGGAGGATTGAGCTTTTGATTTGTTGGAAGCTTTAAACAGAACCATCCACTAGCTAGGAAAAGGCATGTCAAAGTTGGCAGTGTTTTTGAGTCCTCAGGACTCCTCTGAATTCTTTCGGTGTGCATGGAATGAACGCCCGGCGATATTACTGCCGGGGCTTCATAGTCTTATGTGGCTAGGAGACAGCACCAGGAACTTTCTCTCACACATACAAAACCTGAGACGAGCAAGGCTAATGTCTCCCAGCTCAAAGGCCTGAGTTTGCCTTCACAAGCCCCTGTCCAGGAAGCCAAGGTCTCACGAACCCCCTTTTAGGAGACACTTGGGAAGCAGCTTACCCATTGCACCCTAGCAGGTGCACGAAGGCACAACAGAATGCTGGCTGCTGCGTGGCCAGGCTAAGGGGGAGGTACCTGTTTGTGCCAGTGAGCAAGGGATGGATGAATTCGGCCCACCTGCGTCTTAACAAGTAACAGGTGGCTGCAATTGCTGGTGTTATTTACACTCCCAGGAGTGAGGAATTCACACTAAGCGTGTTATACAAATCTGAAGTGTGTCTGGAAGCTCTCCTGGCTTTATGGGAAGTGTGTGGAGTGTAATTTAACCTACCTTCTCATCTGGGTCACACGGATGGGTGAGTTGTCTTTAAGGCTGGTACCAGCGCTGGAGCAGCTAGGGGAGCACTGAGTCTTTCCTTTCTTCCTTTCCTTTGCTTCTGCATGCAACCTCAGGCGTGCTGGGCGGGGACTGCACAGCTGCTGTGTCCAGTGGGACATTTTCCCTGCCATGTCAACTGGTTATTTTGTGCAAGCCTACCTTCTGAACTGGGGGTGCTTCCTCCAAGCTCCTGGGTTGCTGAAATGCCTTTGTATTTACAAAGCACGGAGGGCTGAGGTTGGTTAGAATGACAGGGCGGGACTGGGTTAGCCCAGGAATCTGGCAGAGGGCGAGGATGGTGGGTAGAGGCCGAGCCCTGTGTGTGAACACCCCTGTCCTCTCGGGTCATGCCCCTCACAGAGATGGGCGAATCTCGGAGGGAGGGGGGCTGGCAACCCATCTCCCAGCCCGAGAACGCAACTTCTCAGCAGGGTCTGTTTTTGTAGCCAAGCTTCCCAGGGTGGTCTTGATTTTGCTGCAAGACGGTGTCCATGTTTCTTTTTCCATTGAAAAGACTTGGAGTCATGGGGGAAGCAGCTCCAATATTAAAGTTCTCTATTATACCCATCTGGGCCGAATGCCATCCTGAGACACTAGAGAAAAGATCCAGGCTCTAGGCATCTACCTGTCTCCTATGTAGCTTGTTCTTCTCCTTCCTCAAGACCAGAAGCCTCTGAGAGTTACAAGTTTGTCACTGTCATCATTAGAGCTGTGACAACGGTAAACTAATGTGTTAGGCCCTGCTGTAACGATTCTGTGGGCCTATTTAATCCAACAAGCCCACGAGACGGGCTCTCTTGTTGTTCTCCGTTAACAAATGGGGAAACTGTTACATGCTCCAAGGTGCCCAACACTGAGACAGGTAGTGCTGACCTGTCACCCCGCACCAGCAGCCTGCCCCACGCACACACGCACTAAACCCCGGCCAGCAGTCACACTTGTGGAATGAATGTGAAAAGCTACGCGGCCCCCCCCCCCCCACCTAGATTTCCAAGAACCCTGTTTTTCTCTTTTTCCGATACAGACTTACTACTTGAATATGGAAATCTGTGAGCAGCTCAACAAAATCAGAGGACGCTGTGACTCTTCCCACATCACTCACTTCCAAAGTTCAGGTCCCTGAGGTACCGTTGTGCTGTTTACTTTCATTGTTTGACCTCTACATTTCCCTACTGATAACCACCATACCCCAAAGGGCCACTCTCTAGGAGAGCCGGGACTAGAGAGGGAACAGGTAGGTCCCAGTGTGCCAGGTACATACAACACGGAGATGTAAACCCAAAAGTCATGAAACAAAATAAATTCACTACTTACCGAGTACAGAGAAGCCGGGAGCGGGGGACTGCCGCTTGAGTCTGGAGGCAGCCAAGGGCTTCATTGGTGGGTGCAATGGGTGCCGAGCTGGCGAGGAGGAGCGGGGCTGGGGTGGGGGAGGAGACAGGTCTTGCCTTTATTAGAGTCCAGGGGCAACTGCCCTGGGGCGGGGGGGGGGGAGGGGGCGTGGATTGGCTAAAGCAAAGGCCTGCAAAGGATTCACTTCTTTCCAGGTCTCAGGTGTTGACGGTTGGGCTTCATCATGAGCAGCAGCTGGGGCGTGTGCTGGTGGGAGGCGAGAGGTGAGAAGTATGTGGGCCAGACTGCAGGGGAAGAAGGGAAGTTCCACTTTGGCCGCAGGTGACTGGGCATGGCTGGGTTTCAAACAAGTTATGCCACCCCCTAAGAGGTGGGTGTAGAGACAGGAAGAGGGCACTTCTCTCACACAAGTTTCTCCTTCATTTTCCCAAGAAGGGAGGCTGGCAGCGACTGGCTGGAGTTGGGGGGGGTGGGAGGCGCTAGTGGATAGATCTGGGCTGACCTGTCCCTTGGTTGGTGAGCATGCTCTATCCCGTATTACACTGGCTGAAATGGACCATCGGCTGTGTGCCTGGAAGAGCGCTGGGATGTCTGAAGTCACACTGCAAGCATGGGCCATGGTGGACTGTTCAGCAGCTTAGTGAGGAGTCTCACCTTGGTCCTCATTGTATCCAGGAGCTGATAAACTGGCAAGAGTTAGCTGACATTTACATGTATTCTATAGTAGCTTGCTATTATGTATAGGATGGATACAGTAGCTAGCTCATCTCTATATTGCATATGTAAGCAATGCATCTGTGGAGATTAAGTAAGGGACATGTTGAAATATTTGAGTTTTTATAGCTGAACACTTCCCTGGGCTCTGTCTGATGAGGGGTCACCATGCAGGTTGGGAACCATCTATACCTCAGGCCATTTGGTACATGACAGGGCAGATGTGTACTTCCCATTGGCCATCTGCCTGTACTGAGATTCTTCACGGGCTTCACGGGCCATGAGTGATAGTAAAGATCCAAGTGGCCCCTGGAAGAAAAAAAGGCCCCCTATCTTGCAAGGAGACATCAGAAAGCATTTGGGGCAAAGCCATCCCAATTTAGCCAGTCTGAAGCCTGGGTTCCAGAAGGGAAAGCCTATTTGTGCTTTATGGAAACCAACAAGCTAAATATTTCTGGAGGTTCCTGAGATGATGCTTGGTATTTTCACTCTTCTCCCATTATTTTTGAATGAAACCATATGCTGCAATGTTAGCTAGTATATTTCCCTGGAGATCAAATATATACATTATATATATATATATATATATATACACACACACACACACACACACACACACACACACACACACACACACACACACACCCGTATCTATTTTAAAGTGAGAACTCCAAAAAATAAATCCAAGTGGTAAAGACATTTTATTTCTATTTTCACTGGAAATTTGAGAAGAGAGAGGAAAAAACTTGATATCCAGGCTTTAAAAAAAACTAACCAAACCTTGAGGAGCCACAGAGAAGAGAGCCAGCAAATGACATCCAAGGAACCACAGTTGCAATTAATTTATTAGGAGCTCCTCATTAGCTACCCCAGAGCTTTTAGAAAAGTTGTCTTCTGAGCACTGTTACAATGTCATTCTAATGCTCTCAAAGCCAGAAACATTTGGAAATGATTACATGGTGTTCTTTGACTAGGAAGTATAGCAACAAGGTACAAAAAAAAAAAGAAAGAAAGAAAGAAAAGAAAAAAAAAGAAAAAAATAACAAGCATGCAGCCCTTTATTTAGTCTTGCAAAGTCTCTGCTCATAGTTCTGTATTTTTACATGACTGCATTATACAAATACATTTATTTACAAAAACACTCTAGCTGTGCTCACTTGGTGCTTAAAAAAAAGTATGGATAGTCTCATTTCTGCCCATCCCAATCTATATTCTTTTTAAAGCATGCATACCAATTAACTTTGGTGTGGGAAAAACTACTCTATGTGCTGTCACACACAGTATTTCTTTTAAATCTCTATTTATATATTTACAAAAGTTGAGCCATTTGCAGAACCGTACAGAGGTGTACATTTTTAAAATCGACATTTAGTGCAATAGTGTGGGATCTCGGGTCTCAGAAAACAAAGGAAAGGGTTAGATTCCACAAGGAAAACAAGTAGAAAACCTCAAAATGTTAAAAGAAAAAAAAAAGGAAAGAAAACTAGCTTGCTTGGGCTGGCAAATTAGTATACATACATTCATGACAGGGCAATAGTTGCTTCTGACATGTGCTTTTCTATTGGTTTGTGAAGATCATCATTGGCTTATATAGTCTAGACCACTACTTTCAAATGTACAATGCTATATAGTATCAAAATGTTTTGGCAAAAAAGATCTTGAAAGGAACCATGAAGTTTTGACAAAAATAGAAATCTGTAATAAAGCTAAATAACATGAAAATAAAAGGAAATATTATAGTATCTGTTTTACAATTTATATAGTCGCGCTTACATATTTCTCTGTTCACTTCTAGACTCCGTAGTGAAAAATATTTTTATACAAAACATACTAAAATTCTGGAATCATACATGTTTTACATGCTTAATACAATTTTCTGGTCTCACACACCCACCCCTTTGCGCAAGCTCTCTCTCTCTTTCTCTCTCTCTCTCTCTTTTTGGAGCACATGCTTACTTCATTTGGTAGGTATTAGAAATCAAGACCGCAAACACTACGTAGTTACAACAGCAACAAGGAAAAACAAAATCAAAATGAGCTTTACTGAACTCTATCAACCCAGTATTTAAGTACACACTTTGCATTAAGCCTTAAACAGTACAGCAATATGTTACATCCTCTTGTGAAAACAGTTGTTGTTGACTGCTAAAAAAGAAACAAATAATAGTGTTTTCTGAAAATGTAACTCCACCTTGGTACCTAACCAACTGGCTCTGGCCTTGAAGAGGTTTCCTTGGCTGAGGCTGGAGAGGCCTTGCTCGAGCTTCCATTCTGGGCCTTGTAGCTGGTGAGGCCCGGAGTGTGGATGGTTCTGGTGCCTTTGGCACCCTGACTCAGGGAGGTGGGGGAGGCAGGGGAGGGAGGGGAGGAGGAGGTGGAGGAGGAAGTGGGGGCTGTGCGGCCATTTTGAGTCTGTGGTGAGAATGAAAGGTGGTGGCCTTTACCGGCATGAGAGGAGCTCTGAAACTTTAAGGAGCCATTAGAGACAGAAGGGATGAGGGAGGCGGAGTGAGCGGACCGTCCTGTTTGGGGGCTCAGAGGATTAGAAGTGATGGATGGTTTAGTAGCAGGTGGATTAGGGAAGTTAGAGCTGTCACCACTAGAAGAGGGCAGAGAACTGCTTTTCCCAGAGCTGGGAGAAAGAGCTGGAATCTTAGAAGCAGGTAAGGAGGGGGAAGTAGGCTTACAATCCCCACCAGCTTTCTTAGCACTTCCATTAGCCTGTGAACAAAGATGGCGGGAGACAGTTTGTCAGATGACTGGTCACATGGTCAACCACAGGGCCTGGAAACATGGCCCCTTCTGAGTACCTTACATTCAATCAAAGGAAATGAACACCATTGGAGGCCTGAGCTACTAAAGTGGGGGATTCCATGGAGCTGGCAGAAACCCTCCCCAAGCATAACGGCAAAGGAGACAGAGAAGAGACAGACAAGCAGGGCACACATCATTGCAACCACTTCCCCTGTGCCTAGAGGGCCATGCATCAGGATTACCACTGGGGTTGGGCGGGGCCTAGTGATGGAGAGTTAATGGCTTCGAACACAAGGCAGAGCACACGGACGGACGTTAGTACTGGTGAGTTCAAAGACAGGTTGGCTGGCCTGCGTCCCAAGGTGTTCTGATGAAGAGTTATATTCACCCCCCATATTCCACTGGTCTCCTACCGAGTTAACAGTTCAAATGTGGCGTCACAAAGGAAAAGATGTCTTATTACAAGCATGCAAGAATGTGGTGAAAAGGTTGACAAAGGTATTATAACGTTAGACTTTCTTCATGCCCCCAGACCAAGAATGTCGATGTAAACCGAATCTTACAAAGAAAACACAGTAGTTGGTGTAAACTAAGTTAATGACTGGCTTAATTGCCATTGAGTCCATTCATCCAAAATTGGATTTAAGGTAAAACTACCTGACGATATTGTCGGGGATCCTGGAGTTTGGACTGCTTGCTGGGTTTATCCAGGCTTCCCGGTCTGCTCTTGGAGCTCATAGGGACTGGCATTCTGCTCGTCTGTGGGGCGGCACCGGAGCCCTGTGGGAAGGACCAGCGAGAGGGGGAGAGGGAGAGAACACATGAGTGGATCATCATGGAGGATGGCCCCACGTGTGCAGAGAAGGTCAGGGCAAGAAGCCAGAGCCCTACATGCAGGACAGATCCGGGAGACACCGACTGGGGTTAATCAAGTCGAATCAACTGCTCACTACTGATCAAACGGATTTTAATGCGAAGTCTCAGAGCAATCATCTCAACAGCAAACGACATCCTCACGGGTACCCAACACCAGTCAGCAACAGAGGCAAAAACAGAGTCGATTAGCTGTTAGACACCTAGTTGTTGTTGGGAAGGTAGAGGAGAAGGGTGTGAGAGAAGGGTAATCATGGCGAACAGACAAAAAAAATAATAATACGAGCCACCTGAAAGGAAGCAATTACATCACAAGACACCTGTTGCTAGTGGTGATTATGGCAGATTTAAGAAAGCAGCTGGGCCTTTCCACTTTCTGGCAGACCAAGATACCTTACGTGAAGCTGAAGACACTGGCGTGGGGGGGTCTAGGGCAGGGGGGACTTCGTCCACAACTAGCAAGGATCGGGGAGACGGCTCTGGGGCTAACTGAGATGCGCTTGTAACAGAATCTCTGGTGGAAGAGCAGGAGGAATCGACTAGGGTTTGGGGGCTCATTTCACTGATGGTATTTTCCAGCTGTTTGATGGTCTGCTCCAGGCTGTCTAATGTTCTATAGGTATTTTTTCTAATTTCATCAGTTCTTGAAATTGGAGAGGTGCCCTCTGGACCGGGCTGCTCATGTCTCCTAGCCATGTTTTTGGGGGTGTCTTCTGGTTGAGAACTGGTGATTTCAAATCGCTTGGCTTCCTTATGCTGCTTCAATGTGCCATCCTCTTCCTCTTCTTCGTAGACCACCACCTGTAAAGTCTTCTTCCCTGTTTTGGTTCCTGTGCGAATTGCCTGAGTGAGAGCTGCCAGTTGTTTTTTAGGAAACTTGAATTTAAACTTCTTCTTGGGACTTTCAAACTGCTCATCGGCCACATCACACTTGGCATCGGGAGAATCAGCTGGGCTAAAGTGACTCAGCTCCATTTTGTCCATTTCCTGTCCTCCAGGTCTCTTGCTCTCTGTGGACCTGGAGTATGGCTGTGATTTCATCTCTGCTTGTGGCCCGGGCTTGTGAAGCCGCTGGGAAGTGCTAGTCTGCACTCCGGCCTCTCCTGTTTCGTCCTCTTCTTCCTCTTCTATCTTGTCTTCTGTCATCATTTTCTCTAGCTCCTCATCGCACTCCTCAAAGATGGTTGAAAGTCTCTTATAGGCAGAGCGGATGTCCATGGGCTCATCAAAAATGATAATAACTGGTTTCTTGTCTAGGCATACAACAGGCTCCTCATTCCCCGTCCCATCGTGTTGGCAGGTGGTCTCTTCTTTGGCATCAATATTCACCGTCTGGACCTCTTGTCCCTTTTGGCTAACTATATCGTGGACCTCCCCACTGGACAGAACCTGGACAGCTGTTTTGGTAATCATGAAGGCAATGTTGTCAGTAGCCATATTTTCCTCACTGGGAGAACTTGGACTTGACTCCCCTTCGTCGTTCACAGGTACATGCCTCGATCCTTTGGGTCTTAGAACAACTTGGCCAAAGTCTGTCAGGAGAGTGTCTTGATCTTGGTTTCTCACGTCACCAGGCACCAATTCTGTGGAGCGCAGGGGAGAGGGAATGTGACCCTTGTCTGTGTTTTCTTGTCCTTGTACAGATACTGTTTTTGTCTTTCCGTAATTCACCTTTGGGTTCTCAGGGTCAGGTCTGGGGAAGAGTGGTCCCAAGGCTCTTGCTCCTTTGTTGACTTCCTCTTCTACTGAATTCAGGCCAGGAAAACCGAAATTGACCGTTTGCACATTTTTCTGAGGATAGTTTCTACTGTCTCTGTACAAACTCTTATGGGAGATAGAAGAATTTCCCTTTTTTAAGATGTCAGTTTTATAGTCTGATGTTTTTGATGAATCAGAAACACTCTGCTCCATTCTTCTTTCCCACTTAGGAGGGTCAGTAGGTCTTAGAGACCCTGGGGCAACCTGGGAGGGAGAGTGGAGGAGGGAAACCACACATGTTAATCAGGAACGGATTTATAAAAGCAGGGTGCCGGTGGGTGGGAACACAGATCTGGTGAACTCACCTTTTGAGGTTCCATTTGGGGGCCATTTGAATATTCAACACCAGATTTCCGTACATCTTCATGGAAAAATTCCAAATTCTGGTAGAATAGTGTAGGACAAATTACTCCACAGAGCCACATTCCCCGCAAGTGGACTATAACTAAATTGTGCCTTGAGTTACATTTACAAACACACGGGCCAAGCACAATTGTCACACGCCAATCCAAAGCCTATAGCTCAGTTTACCTGGGATTGCTTTGCTCTCCAACCTCCAAAAATGCCCTGTGTCTGCACAAGATGAAAATCTCAATTAGCAAACTATTCCCAGTATTTTAAATTTTGTAGGGGCACAGAGACGAGAATAAATGGGTCTGTGTCAACACATCCGATCCTCTCTCCTGACTGCTATCTTAGAACTGCGGAAAGATTGGGCAAGCAGAATAATTCAGTTTGTAATATCTGTCTCTTAGCTGAGAGACATTGGGCAAATCTTTTACTTCCTTCCTTGCTCCTCACCTGCCTTGACTGTAAACTGAGGAACAATACCAGGAGATTTTTAATGTCCTCTATTGCTAGTGGTCTCCATGGTTACAGAAATTGTCCCATAAAGAGTTCTGCATTGGTTAGGGGTGGTACTTTGGGGTGAAAAAAATTAAATGTATTTTTCCTCTGGTCACACGGTAGATTAAAAATGTCTTTGAAGGTGTCAAAGTGTTAAATTAATAATAACCACCGTACTCAATCCGAAGGCATATGCTAAATGCTTCTGCAGCATAAAGTCACACATCACTTAACCATAGGGACATACTATGTCATTAGGTGATTTCACTAGAGTGTACCTCTGTGGACCTGGATGCCTAGGGCCACCACTTACTGTGGCCTCTTGTGTGCGTGTGCATGTGTGTGTGTGTGTGCATGCACACATGTGTGTTGGTATTGGGGCTTGAACTTAGGGCCTTGTGTTGTTGCTTGGCTTTTTCACTCAAGGCTGGCATTCTACCACTTGAGTCACACCTCCACTTCCAGGTTTAACAGGTTTACTGGAAATAAGACTCTCATGACCTTTTCTGCTCAGGGTAGTTTTGAACCATGATCCCCAGAGCTCAGGTCCTGAATAGCTAGGATTGCAGGCATGCTCTATCTGTACTCAGCACTGTGGCCTCTTAAGATAACCAGGAGACCTGGTAAACATGAGACACATGATGTTGCTGGTGGCCTAACACAGCCCAACTGTTGTGTTATTGAACTTGGTTCATTAATAAACATATGTAAGTTTTACGTGAGTACATACTAAGTAGATATATTTTACATAACTAGGATGATAATGAATAAGTTCAGTAAAATAATGATCTAAAGTACAGTACAGAAAATATATCAACCAGAAACAAACATCGTCGGTTAGTACCATGGTGACACCACCAGCGTCACCACAAACCTGAGTACTTGCAGGTCTATGACTGTATGAGGGCTAAGACGTCAGTAGGGAACAGGGCTTTTCAGTACCAGCAAAATCCCATGAAATCACCACCGTATGGTCCATGGGTGACCAAAATATTGTTATATGGTGCAACAATGTAGTCTAAAATCAAAAGAATTTGCGGGAGAGATGGTGGCTGTGGTGTCAAACCTCAGCTTTAATGGTCTGTCTGATATGATGAAGGATGCGTTCTCATCTGGAAGGCCCGTCCTTCTAGCCAGCCGCAGCCCCCCCCATCACCTTGACGCTAGGTGCTAGGGAGGGACACAGGGACATTTGTTCCTCCCGTGGCACTGCTGCCCTTTCTTCTCATTGCGGAATCCCAAGAGGACGTGGTGACCCTCAAGCGTGGAACACAGTCCCACTGGAGGCAGTTTGGTTCAGGCGAGGACAATGGAACGAAGCACAGTAACTCAGGCGGAGTCAAAGTCAACCCAGAGAAGGACTCACACAAACGACAAAGCCAGCATTAATCACACGGACACATTCACGAGGATGTTAGCCCACAGACGTCTGCTGCTCCCCGTCAGTGCCCTAATAGGGCAGGGACTCAGGTGCTACCACGGAACAATATAATTTCTTCAGTGGGATTTTTACAATTCAGATGATAAAACTATATATTAAGTTAAAGGTTTTAAGAAAAGTAAACATGGTTCTGGTCTAGGTTCAACTCCAAAGACGGAGCTGGCAGGTTGGCATGTCATGCTAGGAATCAAAGAAGGGCCAAGTCACTTGGAACTCAGGAAGACACAGGCCTAGCTGAGGCCCTGCCAGTCCCATTAACCGGGAGCTGTGGCTCAGATATGTTCTGGTTGGTCAAGGGCCGTTACATACTCATTGGTTTCTGTCTTATTTGGGGGGTAGTTTTGAGGTTTGAACTCAGGGCCTTGAGCCTGCTTGGCAGGCACTCTACCACTTGAATCACGCCTCCAGCTCAACCATACTGATTGTTACCTGTTCCAATGTTCCTCTGCAACACACATACTCTAATATTGATTACGTAGTAGGAATACTCCAAAGGAAAGTCATCACGCTAAAGATGTCATGTTTATCTGTGATGTGAACTTTTGTGTTTATCACAGGGCTAGGAAAAGGAGTACGTTTGGAAAACAATTTCATGAACTTCAGAGCCACCTGGTCATAGTCATCATGTCTACTGACAATGACTGTTCAGTCTTAGCTTGAAAGACTGTGAAAGCTCATTAAGCCTCTTTAATATCTGTGTATGGACCCTAAGATTTGGATTGCTGAAGACAATTGGAGAAGCACACTTAATATGAATAAGGACAATAAACAAAATAGAGATAGAGACACAGCTTCAAAACCTCTAGAAAAGACAAGTACTAGGCTACAGTGTTACGATGATAGGAGAAAAAAATTAAAGAATACACTTGACTTATAGAAAGAAAGATAGACAAATAGCCCACATAGAGGTTAATAATGACAAGTACTGAGTCCTTACAAAATAGATCCACCTGCTGGTTTTGAATAATGATCCAGAATAAGCACCTGTAATTAAACCCAGTGCAGGGCACTCAATGAAGACCTGCTGGCTTTGTGATGGATCTTAAGTGATTAATCAGTTATGGATTTCTAATTGTTGGGAAAGTAATCTCCAGTAACATTCTAGCCCATTGAAGACTTTCATGATGAGATAATAATTGTTCCTGGAGGGTTTGTTGAGAAACCAAGTTCCTAGTGGATGTTTTAGCACCAGGAACCTAGGTCCAAGTACACCACGCAGGCCACGGCAGGGCATGCCAGGGCCCACTCACAAATTACCTTTAATAAGGCCACATAAATACTGACATATATATGTATATATTTGATATATCGTGAGTTCAAATGGGAGCTTTTCTTCATGAGAAATGCTTATTCATAGTAATCTCATAAACTCCTGGTATACAGGATGAAATTCTCCTACCTTGACCGCTTCCATTGCTATGTGGCAGACATGGTGTGCACTAGGCTCTATGATGGCTGAGAAGCAGGGACTTATGTTAACCTCTCGCCCTGTGCTCTGATGCCTCATCATTGAGATGACCTCTCCATGCCCGAGGGGATGTGAAGCTATCCTGCACCGGTCTGCTGAACTTTACTAAAGGGAAGCTACAGTCTCTGGATTCTGAAGTGTAAGTTCCTAGTGAGAAATATTAAGAACTGAGTTGTTAAGGGATTTAAAAAAAACCAGAGTCATAATTAAAATGAGATGGCTCTAAGTTTCCCAATGACACATGTGTTACATTTAACTTAAAATTGCAGCTCCTTTCCTAAACTCCTTTCCCAGAAGTATATATGCAAGGAGGGCAGCTTTATTTTATTGTCTAGACGGCTTTTTGAAGCTACAGCTATATTTTAGCACAGAAACTATTCTAAAGCTGTTGCCTTGGAAGATGCACTTCAAAAGTTGACACTACTTTGCGCAGTTAAGTTTGATTCCTTGGCTGGGCATGTGCATGGACTTGTATATTTCTCCGATTCCATGCTGTATTATGTCACAGCATGTGTTTTCTGCCTAATACTTCTATATACCTCAAGTACTCACCTTTTTCTTTTTTCCCTTCAACTCTAGCGCTCTATCACTTGAGCCATAGCCTCACTTCTGGCCTTTTGGTGGTTAATTGGAGATAAGAGTCTCAGGGACTTTCCTCCCCAGACTGGCTTTGAACCATGATCCTCAGATCTCAGCCTCCTGAGTAGGTAGATTATAGGTGTGAGCCACTGATACCTGGCTTATTCATCTATTTTTAACAAAGACTTTTCTTTTGTCCAGAGAGTATGTTAAAAATTAGAAAAATTATACATACTTCTACATATTGGTTGCTCGCTCTTTCTTTTCTTTCTTCCTTCTTTCTTTTTCTGTCCCTTCTTCTTCTATTTTTTTCCTCTTTGGTAGTACTTGGGTTTGAATCCAGGGCCTCACACTTGCTAGGCTGGCTCTCTGCTGCTGAGCCATGCCTCAAACCCTCTATTTTTCTTTCCTTTTAGAATTGTTCTAGAAAAATCCTGAAAGGTGTGTGTGTGTGTGTGTGTGTGTGTACATACGTGTGTATATATATGTATGTTTATATATATACATATATCTATATGGTGTGGGGAGGCATCATCTCACTTTTGCATAGACAATGGGTACTGTGCACAGAGACACCATTTCTTTTGGAAACCTGAGCCGGGCATCTCTGACACAGCTAAGTGTGTCTCTATTAGTCTGGTGATGGGGAGAGGGAAGAGGAAAGGACACAGGGCACGAAGGTCAGTGCGAGAGAGCCAGATGTTAGTATGACAGAAAGGGAGGCAGGCTGCCTGGCCGTGTGGCAAATGTGTGGATGCCACGTGTTACCTTCTTCTCCGTGGGTGGGACTGTGGCGCCTGGCCTAGAGTCTTTAACGTGACTGTCAGCCCGGGACTGCTCAGCATGACTGTTTGAATTTACATCCATAAAGGAACACTTCTGGAATGCCTGAGGGATTAAAATACTGAGGTTAAAAAGGATCCAAGTGTAATAAGCAGAAAAATGGGAGAGAGGTAGAAATGCAGGTGCGGGGCTTCAGGCCTGGAACTGTGTGTGGGCTCACACCAGGGAGGCAGCACACTGGAATCCAGTACCCCACTGGGCTTCAAGGTGTACATCTGGCATTGGAGCTAAGCCCGGGGCTAAAGATTCCTCGTCGCACTAATATGGACAGGAACACTCTTGGGCTGGCCAGTAGTTCAGTGGAAGGTCTAAGTTTAGTACAAGACCCTGGGTTCTATCTTGAGCACCAAAGAAGGAAAAGAAAAGCAACAACAAGAAGAAAGTGGGAATACCTGGCCCTCTTTGAGCCTGAATGGCACTTGTAGGTGGACTTTTTGCTGTGCCTTTTCGTTTGTTGGTGGTGGTACTGAAATTTGAACTCAGGGCCTTGAACTTGCTAGGAAGATGCTCTGCCACTCACTAGCGCAATGCCACCAGCCCTTTTTGCTTTGATTTTTTTTGAGACAGAGTATTATTATTAATTATTTGCACATGCCAGTCTAGGCCATCATCTTATCTTCTTCCCACTGTAGCTGGGATGACAGGCATCTGCCAGCATGCCCAACTTTCTCTGCTTGGATGAGACCTCAAGAACTCATTTTGCCCTAGCTGGCCTTCAACTGCGATCCACTGCACATGAGACTCCTAAGTAGCCTTGGATGACAGCCATGCATCACTGTGCCCTGTTTGCTTTGATCTTTAACATTATTGGTATGTACCAAAAGATATCAGTCACTTTATTTGCTTCATTTTTAAAACCAGAGTTATTGAAACCATGGGGTGGGGGGGAAATGCTTCGCAAGACATTTTAAGCCTTTAAATAAAAATAATTTTTACCACTCCAGTCTCTGAAGTAATAACAGGTTTCACCCTGCTCTGTTGCTCATGCACAACAAAGCCCTGGGCTTCTGCATCCATGTGGCTCGGAGTGGTCCAAGAGACCCCCTTTCTCAAAACTACCCATTGTAACTAGAGAGACAAGAGCTGCCTATATGAACACTGCGAGGGAGACAGGTTCTTAGAGGGAATGTGCTGGCTGGGTCTGCAGGGCCGAAAGGACAGTGGGACCTGGAAGCGTTTCTTGATACTGCTCACAAGAACAAGAGAGCTGAGAAGCTTTGGTGATTCTCAATCAAGCTACGTTATCACCCAGCTCAACACCACACCGACAAGCAATAGAAAAATCCTGTTACTCAAGCTGTACTCAGAGAATAAGTAAATTGGAATGCCTGGGTTATAGAGGTTATTTTGAATGTGCAGCTGTGACTAAATAAGTCTTATTTAAATAAATGATCTCAAATAATTGCCTCATAATTTCTTTATGTCAAATGCTATGATTCGGAAATAACTGGCTAGGTGGAGAGAAGAAGGTGTGGTTTCTGTAAGTAGGCACTGCAGCAACAACTGTCTCAATGTCTAAGAATCCTCCTCTGGTGCTTTCTTCTTCACTCTGCCCTCTCTCTCTCCCTCCCTCCCTCTTGCTCCTTAGAAAGCCAACCCTGCTTTGCCCTGGACATGCTTGGCTTAACTGCTTATTGAAGGAACCACTTTTGGAGGCCAATTACATATCCTTTGGGCTGTGAGGCCCTGGATTTCAAAGCTCGTATTTCCTTCTGATGCCTGATGACATCAAGCTATGGGTGCTGTTCCATGACTAATCTTAGAGGGCACTGTGGAGTCTCCTGGTCCTGACAGGTGTCTAAATGCAGAGCATGCACCAGTAAAGAAGCCAGCACCAGCTGGGTGCTGGTGGCTCATGCCTGTCATCCTCGCTATTCAGGAGGCTGAGATCTGAGGATCACAGTTCAAAGCTAGCCGGGGCAGGAAAGTCCATGAGACTCTTATCTCCAATAAACCACTAGAAAACTGGAAGTGGCGCTGTGATTCAAGAAGTAGAGTGCTTGCCTTGAGCTTAAGAGCTGAGGGACAGCACCCAGGTCCAGAGTTCAAGCCCCTCGAATGACCAAAAAAAAAAAAAAAGAAGCCAGCACCATACGCCAGCTTTCTGGTTCATCAGGTTGAGTTCTTTATCCCAACAGGAAGGCCAACAAGTTCCAGTTAGGAAAAGAGTCCTTCATCTAAAATCCCACAGCAAGAAGCCAGGTATTCCACCCTTGGTAAAGGGTCATCAAAGAGGTTACAGAAGATTAAGACTTCATTGGTGGAAAACATTCTCTTCCTCCAGTAGAGGCTGGAAGTGATTGCAACACATCTATGGCTTCTTTCTGAGGACAGACTTCCAAGTTGTTAACTTGATAAAATTATGAATGAGTTTCTGACCATTCTGAAACCTGTAACCAATCTGCATCATGAAGAGGACTCCCAGGACATCTGTAATTTTTAGGAAGGTTTGAATGAGGTCACATACACCACAGAACAATTAGCAATCTATTGTCCCAGCACAATTCAAGCAGTACCATTTTGGCCATTGTTACCATGTAAACCAGAGTAGAACAAGTGCCTTGAGGATGCCATGGGCTAGCACAAAACCATGGGACTGGTGGGGGAAGTAAACTTGGTTTAGAGGCCCCTGGAAACTGACATCTAAAATATCCTATGATAAACAGGAGTCAAACAAAATACTAACAAAGTGTGTATACAATGTCCCTATTGTGACAAAGTTCAGAACATCCTTCTAGGGTAGATTTACATCCATGACCAGAAGAGTCACTTCTGGGAAGAATTCTCATAAAATTGTAACTCCTTAATATTCAATGTATTCACAAAAGAGTCCCAGTGCTATTGGGTGAACTGCCTCCACAGGTTACAAAGTAATCACCTGAAAAACTAATGAAATGTAATTCTTCAAATGGGCTGAGGGAAATGGGAAATCCAATTATTCACCTCTGCAGAGTATCTGAAAGATGACACTGACATTAACTAGAGACCCAGTATAAATTGTAGGCAGCCAGCCACTGGTGTTGAGTCCTGGTTCAATGTCAGTCTACAGATAGGAACCAATGAAGAGGACCCCACCTAAAGTGGGCCACATTCAGTCCTTACCAAGACAATTGCTCCCGTTTCTAATCCCCAGCTTATTTTGGGGGTGGGGAGGGGTGGGAGGAAGGGACATAAACAGAGACTATTAAACCTGAAAGAAAAGGAAATGAATCCGATTTCCCGAGCTACAATCGATTTTACTTATGTGTAAACTTTTACATATGTATAAACTTTCTGGAGTTGTTCTGTAAAAAGAGTCATTGCTCTTACAGTCTTACAGGTGCACCAAGGAACTGCTTCAGCACAATCTTGGCAAATAAAGGTTAAGGCCAAGGGCAGAAGACACACCCACCTTAACCCACATCTAGGGTTCTTCTCCAGCTAACAAAGCTGAGCCATAGCCAGAAAGCCCCAACAGGGAACTTTATAGCAAGCAGGCACCTCATCCACATACCTGGAGTTCCGCCATGATCTTATCGCCTTCTTCCTCGTCCTCCTCCTCATCTTTTGAGGAGGCAGTAGGAACTGGCGGATGGGAATTGGCCCAGGCTGAGGCAGGCTCCTCTGTGGGACACTTAGTGGCTCTAGTGTGTGGGCTTGCTCCGGCATCATCACTGCTCGCCTAGGAGAGATGCAAACCCACAGCCATTGGCCTAAGACCTCCCTAAATGAAAGGCTAATTCATTCCCTCACACTGTTGGACAGTTTGTTGTCGTTTTTAGTGAATAAATACCCACATTCTAATAAAATTGTAACTCTTGACATTTAACACTTTCTCGAAAGACTCTCCACATAGGATATTTCATTGGAAATTGTGTTTTCCATTTAATCCAAGAGGACACGAGCCACGTGGAAGCTAGACTCCTTCAAAGCGTGCTGAATAAACTCCCACAGCTCTGTCAGCTAATCACACCTCAGGCCATCTTCCTTTCCCTTCTCCCTCACCATGCCCTGTGTGAGAAGAATACTGTCACAACTGAAAGTCCAGTAAAGCTAAAGGTCATGGTGCTGCGTGCAGGCTGATAACCCAGGCGGACCTGTCACCCATCTTGCCACATCCTGGCCAGGGAGATTTTACTTCTCTTCTCTGCTTTCCTGCTTGCTCTGTTCAAGCAGAACCTTGTCTAAGGGGCTGGGCTGGGCTGCACCTGGGCCTATGCCATCAGACCTTAGTGCTGGAGCTTTCCTTCCTGCTGGTGTAGATCACGTCGCCCGACCTTGTGGTGGTGATCCCTGATCCAGGAAGGTAGCTTCGCCGAGGGGGTGGGGGAGGAGGAGGGGGCGACTTTCCCCCTAGCTTGTCTATGTCCTGTTCTGAGTTTGGAGAGTCTTCTGGAAAACAAACAAATGTAAATACACAAAGCAAAACAATGAGTCACTTCAAAGGTAATCTCTTTTTAAAATAGTGTTCAGAAAGCCATTATGTGGCTGTGTAAGCAATGCAATTTGACCTAGAAATTCTCCATTCTCTCCTCAGAGCAATGATTAAGGAGGAAGCAACTGTATTTAAATCTCAGAAAGACCCTGCACAAGTACCTTCACTTTCTCGGGCTCAGTTTTCTTTTTTTTTTTATTTTTATGTCGGTCATGGGGCCTGAACTCTGGGCCTGGGCGCTGTCCCTCAGCTCTTCAGCTCAAGGCTAGCGCTCTACCATTTGAGCCACAGCACCACTTCCGGCTTTTTTCTTTTTGCTTATGTGGTGCTGAGGAATCGAACCCAGGGTCTCAGGCATGCAAGGCAAGTGCTCT